CTGGCGGTGTCTGCAGCTGGATGACGGATGGACGGACGGACGGATGGACGCTCTGCCTCCCGGGGCTGAGCACTTACTTTCCCAGGTAGAGTTCCGACAGGCTCCTCAGCAGGCACACCGAGGGGGGCACCGCGTCCAGGTGGTTGTCGTTCAGGCAGAGGACCTCCAGGGACTCGCTGAGGAAGGCCGGGAAGTCCAGCGGGCACGCTGCGGAGACACGGGGAGAGCGGAGGGCGCGTCTGAGATGGACCCGGGACCATCCTGGCCCCGGGGGCCACGTGGGGGTGAACTGGCCCCACCTCAGAGTACGACCCTCCTGCCGCCGGCCCAGGGATGCTAATTCTAGCGTGCTGTCCACCAGGTGGCCTTGGAGATGCGGCCAGGATGGGGGAACAAGGCCCTGGCCGGTGTGGCTCAGTGGATAGAGCCTCAGCCCCGGACTAAAGGGTCCCGGGTTCGATTCCGGTCAGGGCACGTGCCCGGGTTGCAGGCTCCATCCCCAGTAGGGGGCGTGCAGGAGGCAGCCGATCCATGATTCTCGTCATGGATGTTTCTCTCTCTCCCCCTCTCCCTTCCTCTCTGAAATCAATAAAAATACATTTATCACAAACAAACAAACAAACAAACACCCCACAAGCCAACTCTCTCGCATTTAAGCGATTTCATTCATCCGGGTCATGACGCGATCAGCATGACAGTCACATCCGACCTGTGTCTTCAGGGCCCGGAGTGTGTGGGTGGAGAGAACCTGGCTCCGGGCCTGGGAACCCACACTGAGGGGAGTCAGAGGCCTGGGTTTCGGCAGAATCTCTGAAACGCCTTACCCTCCCTCCTGAGGCCGGGGCGGGGTGGGGGTGGGGGGGGGTGCCTGCCCCGGAGGGTCCCTTTCAGCTCGAATTTTTCAAGCTGAAGCCGCTGCCCAAAGCCCTGCTGCCTGGGTCTCTGCCAGACGAGCAAGAGGGAGAAGCCAGACCCTCTTGTTGGGCTGAAAGGATGCTCCCTTGCCCTCATCTCAGCACCCCCCCCTCCATCCGCCCCCCAACTCTGGCTTTTCCCACACACGGAGCTGCAGTCAGTGGGAACAGGGTAACCTGGCTTCTGAGGCTGCTCCGGGGGAGACGATAGCGGAATACCCAAACCGGTGCCCGGAAGGAAGGCCGCCTGGTTAGCGACAGTGTTGAATGGGGCGCCGTGCAGCGCCCCCTATGGGAACAAGCATGCAAATGACGTAGAGATGGCTTGGTACGGGACTACCCTGTTGCATACGAAAATGTTCAAAAAGCCTTTTTTTTTTAAAAAAAAAAAGGTAATCTTTTTTTTTATTTTATTGATTTTTTACAGAGAGGAAGGGAGAGGGATA